ATCCTTCTAAAGATGGGCTTCAAAAGTGTAACGGTATCATTTACATCATGTTCCATTGGTCAACCTAGATACAGTAACCAGATTTAAGGAGAGTGGCACATGAACATGGGGAGGGCAGGACTTGATGGTTTTGACCATATTTCCAATGAATCTTACACAACAGGGCTTGAGGATATGAAAATTAGTTGTTCTTAGCAAAGAAAGAGATGAACATTTAGATAGCTCAGAGTTAGGAGTAAAAGGAAACTTTAATTTTGGATGTCAGTCTTCCATTATTGAGTATTTAATACACATCACCTTCTAACTGGTGGTAAATATATAAAAATGATTCTATGCAGGGGATATCAGAGGATGACTCTGTGGCAAGAGTGTCTGCTTTCTGAGTGTGAAACCCCAACTCAGATCCACAGTGACACTCACATGTATCAAGAATGGTCCAGACAGCATTGCTGCCCAGGACTCCCAGAACCACAGTTAAGCGTGTGACCTCTGATGAAAGAAAACAGTTGTATATGAGTACCAAATTTTAGGTGTGTGAACCACAGCTAGTCCCACAACTGGGACACCTGACACTTCATAAGATTCCCTGAGTACCAATAGGGAGTAATTTCTGAGTACAGAGCTAGGAGTAGTCCTTGAGTACTTCTGGGCATTGCCCAAACTACTCCAATCTACCCACTTATCTTTCCCCTACATAAAAAGAAGGATATTGAAATGCTTAACAGAAAAATAATAAAATTTTACAAACCTTTTATTTAAATTCATAAAATTGTGCTAAAATTCACAGTAAAGCATTTTAAAAGTTTAGTTGGCCCTGACATGACACTGATAAATAATTCACCACTATGCTAAAATAATTCTCCACTAAGTATAGAGTTTATCTGGCACTGACATAATCCCTCTTACCAGTTTGCTACTATGCCAAAATAATTTTTATGCTAAGTATATGTATTACCATAATACTTATATTTATATATGTTCTAGATTATAAATATATATTTTATAAGATGTATATATATGTACTAAGTTTGCCATCTTAACCCATAATTTGATTCATGATACATGAGAAAAGTAAATACTCTTTCTTATGATTTATCCCAGAAGATAAATTATAGCTATGTCAGGTTTCCAATTATTGAATAGTTACTATTTCTAAATGCTTAGCTAATTTATAAGCAGCTTCTTATTTAGTTCTCCTAAGAACATCTCAAATTGTTCTGCATCATTCACTGAAATTTCTATGTGAAAAAAGGATGGTCTAAAGGTATATAATGGTCTCAAAGTCATCAAGCTAGTTACATATAAAGCAAGGCTGTAACCTAGAATTTCCTTCTTTCTTCACATTTCTTTGTTCCTTATTCCTTTTCTTTGTTCTACATCAAAGTTCTTCACAACATTCTTAGTACTCTGCAGTGCCTAGTCACAGATAAAATTTCATGAACCCCATCTTCGTAATAATAAATCTCCCTTAAAGTACATATTGAACAACATCATCATTGATTCTGTGATTGAGTCTGGTTGGTTTCTTAAATTTAGGAAAACAAAAATATCTGAGAAGTCCAATCAGAAATGAAAACTGATTTGAAAACTGTAGACTTGATTGTGTCATTGAGAAACAGAACAGGGCCTTCAGTGCTCTACGAAAAGGAAGAAACAGGTTGTAATTGTAATTTTACACTTGGCATTGTTCACTGGGAGACAAGAGCAGAGTACAAAAGATCCCGACATTGAATGCTGCAAAGGCCACTGGCCTAGTTAAACTGTTGTGAACTGGGGCACTTGCGTCTGAGTAACTTATTTTCAGCACATGTCCCCAAATCATCCCTGTTGAAATGAAGGCTATCTCTTGACTTAAATGTGCCATTTACCTTAGCCCATAATATGAAACTTTTATCCAACCTGAAAAGAAAAAAAAATAGTGGTAAAATGTTACATTCTCAAATAAAAAAAGTAGAAAACATTTGAGCAAAATAAAGATGAAATGTCTGCCAAGCTCTGTTAAACCAAACATATATATTTCTAATGTGTACCTAAATAGGCTTCCTTTCACTTTATCATTTATTTTCTAACTAACTACTGACCATAAATAAATGTCACCATTTAAATAGAAAAAATATTTTCATTTGATATAAATCCATACAATACGCAAGTTGGAATAGGGAGAAAGATTATATCTGGTGAGATTTTCCTTCCAGGATGCTAACTAGAATTATATCTGCATAGCTAATATTAGTAAAGTTTTATAAAAGGGATCAGGAATCAAGATAATATATGAGTACTTTGAAAGGTACTAGATTCTTATTTTATATAACAGTTGTATTACCTTACATTCACGAGAAAGAATCTTTGGTTCTGTCTAGTATTGAAAAAGGTTTATGGGAAATGATGTCTCATTAAAAAAATAATTGATATGGTGATGATCATGAAAATATAATAAAGTTTTTGTTCAGTAATGGGAAGTACTTAAAGTAAATCAAATTTACTTTATTGAAATCCTGGTAATTGGTTAAAGAACCTTGGGGAAATAATTTAGCCTCTTCATGTCTTCGTGATTTCACCTATAAAATAGAGATGATAGCAAAAATCACTTCATAAATATGGTTGTGAGTATTAAATGAGTTAGTAATAAAAGGCACATAGTAATTCTTCAGTAAATATACAAACTATAATTTAATACATACATTTTATCATGCTATGATAACTCCAAAATATCCTATCATAGTTTTCTTGCATTAAACCTAGATATAAAAAATAATTTAACTCACTACCTATTGTAATGCATTTTTATCACTGTATCACTGCTATCCCGTTGTTTGTTGATTTACTCGAGTGGGTGCCAGTAATGTCTCTATTCGTCCCAGCCCTGAGATTTTAGCAGCCTCTCCTTACTCATCTTTCCCAATGATTGGAGGGTCTTTCATGTTCAGGGGAATGGGACCTGTTATAGTTACTGGTTTTGGCATATTGAATATGCCACAGGGAGCTTGCCAAGCTCTGCCTGTGCAGACAGAATACTCTTGTTAGCTTGCTGGGCTCTTTGATATATATATATATATATATATATATATATATATATATATGCCATGTATATATCCAAATTATATATATTATATATATAATTTAGATATATATTATATATATTGTATATATAATTTGGAGCCTATTGTCTGAACCCCATCAAACATGGTGTAGTTGGTATAATAATTATGGAAAATGGGTAGAAAGTGTCTTATGATGTGTCAGGTGGCCACTTTATGGCCACACGGTCCACAAAATGCCCTGGAGAGTGGAGGTCAGCTGTCAGGGTTGGGTCCCTTGGGGTGGGAAGGGCTATCACCCACCCCCCACTGGAGCACCCCAAGAAAAGACAACCTGTGATGTATCTAATTTTTTGTGGCTATTGGCATTTGATTAGTTGTTCAAAATGATCTTAAATTATTTTGCCACCATTCAAGAAAAATACAGCTGGAATAATGGGAATTATATTGTTTCTATATGCTTATATGGGGTAGATTGCTTTATAAAGTCCAATTTTCTCATGCTAAGATATAGAATCTCTGTGCTTTCAAATGTTTTTAAAAAGTGTCTGTAATATTTTATAACGATTTTTATAGGGATCTGTACTTCTTTAACATGATGTCAAGTGTTTCATAATTTTGCCATTAGGAATAACCAGTAACATTGATAACAGTCATTTTATTTCTTGCTTATGTTTATATTATATATATTTTATATATTATATTATATATATTTATTACATATAAATATATATATAATTTTATAATAGAAAAAATCTGGTAAGTAAAATTTTTTTCTGAGTTTTTTATCACTCCAGCAAATGAGTCAAACCCAAGAAGGAAGTCATTAAAGCTCTACTCTGTATCTAGTTCAATACCACTTCTGGGAATATACCCTGAAAGTCCAAAAACACACAGAATAAATGCCATCTGCACTTCTATGTTCACTGAAGCACAATTTACAATAGCCAGAATCTGGAGGCAACCCAAGTACCTAAGAACAGATGACTGGATAAATAAAATAAGGTACGATGGGATACTACACAGCCATTAGAAGAAATGAAGTCATGAAATTTACTTGTAAATGAATACATGGAGAGTATCATGCTGAGTAAAATGAGTCATAAGGAGAGGGAAAAGCATACAATAACTAAAATCATTTTTGGAATATTAAGAAAAATAGTATGAGACTAATATCCAAGGCCAGGTAATACAGGGATCAGGAGGACTGGCCAATGGTTGGAAGCTTGCCACAAGTGTGTTCAGGGAAAAAGGCAGTTAAAATAGAGAACAGACCAATATGACATAGAGGTAGGTGGAGGGGAGATGGAGATAGAGAAACTGGAGACATTGGTGGTGGGAAGTGTACACTGGGGAAGGGACAGGTGTTGGAACATTATAATATGACTGAAACCAAACCATGAATCACTGTGTATCTCACTGAGATTCAATTTATTTTTTTTTAAATAATCTGTAACTGGTTGGTCAAAAATATAGTTTACTACTCGGTCTTGCAGTTGGTATCCAAAGTGTTGTGGGAGTGCACTGCTCTGTGAGACAAGAACTTTGATTTCTGGGATCTTTAACGTATACTATCTCCAGGTAATGGCAGAGTTGAGTTTAATGAGAGACGCTCTACTGTTGGAACACTGCTTGGAATGTATATTGCTTGGAGCACATTGGAAGTAGAATTAGAATTCATATAGATGAAATAAATAATGATTAGGAAGGCTGCAGAGCTGAATGGATGAATATAGAGAAGAAAGAGGAGTATATACATGTATCTACGTATATACTTAAAGATGCATCTAATTTGGTAGATATGGTTGTGAGAAGACAAAGAATTTATGATCTGGATGCTTATCGTTTTTTGGAGGATACCATGGATCCTACCAAGGATCTAACACACGCCAACACAGTTACGCTACTTCTGTGCCACACCATCATTATCAACGCAAAATGAAGAGTTGAATTGTAGCTCTGTGAAGATATGATATGTCTTTATTATCTCAAAAGTGTAAAAGCAAAATCAGTAATACAATGTAACAAGATTTAAAAGGCAGTTTCTTGTGTGATGTGATAGCTCAAAAAAGCTGGTATACATATCTGATATGTATGTATTAGGTCCAGAGTTCAATCTCTGACACTGGATTGACCCTGCACAATATTTTGGACACATCTTACTTCAAAAGAGGTGGGTGTAAGTGGAAACTTACTAAGAAACCATTTAAGATATAGTGAAATAAAGTGGAAAAAAAATAGAGTTTCCTTTAGTCACTCTCATTTATTTAGGGAGTAAATGGTAAAGCTGCTGAGGATTGGGCAAGAGAAACATTATATTAACAGATCTTGGAATCTAAACTAAATAAAAGAGAAGTAAGAGTTTGAAAGTATCGTGAGTTAATGTCTTGCCCAAATTTGAGCTTTTCTCAAAAGGTTCGCTATAGAGCTCCTTAGACAATAAGTTTGTGATACTATTTATTTCAGATTTCTCAGAAATTATCCACTGTTTATCAGTACAACAACTATTATCCCTTTTACATTAAAGCATTTTAAAATGTTTTAATGCACCAAACCATAAAAGCAAAAACATAATTCAAACCAAAGAGGCCATTAGAGTACCAATCTTTAAGTTTCATTTGTCTCTCTGATTATTTTTCTCTCCACATGATAAAATAGAGATCATATTACCAAATTTGGATACCAAAACATCCCCAGGATAGTCTGAATAACACACAAGTAAAAGCTTGTGACACTGTTTCAAATATTCCTCAGAAAACTGTTAGGAGGGCAAAAAGTCCATAAAGTAAGGCACAAGGGTAGGCAACGAGAAGTTGTTGTCCCTCCATGTCCAAGGCTGAGGTGAAGATTTTGGAAGCTGAGAGACTACACCAGCCAATAATGACCATGGCAGACACAGTTCCAAAGGTGCCCCTGTAGTAAAAATAGAAGACATGATTTCTTTACAGGCAGGAAACAAGAGATGATTGAGTCAGAGCTGTTTCAATAATGTTCTTGGGGAAAAGTTATATTATTCCTCCATTTGTAAAATGAGAGTTTGAAACCACAGAAACTCAAGACTAAACAGAAAATGTCTGAATCCAATTCACTCTCAGAGACCAACTATATTATATGTCAGTAAAATTGAAATAGACACAATTCACCTTCAGTTATTCCCCAAATTCAATATTCAAATCACAACTTCTGAAATTTTTTTATACCCCGTGACTTATTTGATATGCCAAACACAGTAACAACAAAGTCTCCAATGGAGATGTTACTGGGCCCACTCGAGCAAATTGATGAACAACAGGACAGTGACAATGACAGTGACAAATTACTTTTTAAAGACTTTTTTATAGCTACTGATTTTCCTCCTTCTTCCACATTGTTTCTTAAATTTATTTCAGCTATGAGTAGAAAGATAACTTTATTTGTATTACAGTAGGTACTTAGACCCCACCCCCCACCCCACCCCACCCCCACTGTTTCTAAGCCTCCATCCCTGGTTTTTCTCTGAGATAGGAAAGCCTTACAAAACCCAACTAGGGAACACTCATTAACAAGGAAGTATAGATGTGTGTAACTACATATATCCTCTCTAAAAATTTCATTTATATGTTCATGTGTTATTTATATGTGTATATGTGTTAACTTCTTTAGAATACTAAAAGGAATTTGGTGAAATAGGTGAACATTTCATACAATTTAAAATGCGTTTTATCAAGGTAATTGAGGAACCCCAGCTCTAGAATTCAATGGCCACCATGCACCCAGCTTATCTTCACAGGCTTGGATGAGCCACATCCATGAGTGAATCTGCTGAAAAAACAATGTATGCGTGATTTGTGAATGAAATTTCCATGCTCACACGGAGTTGGGAATGGCCAACCTCCCTCCATCTCCCTGTGTTTTCAGTAGACTACCAGTCCCACCCAGGTACAGCTTCTGGTGCTATATAAACTCATTAACAGCCATGATCCAGGCACTCACAAATAAATCTCTCAGAAGAGAGCATCACAGAACGATATGCTATAGAGATGTCTTCGAACCACAAAGTCACCATCCAGTCAAAAAAGTAAAGAATTAAATTAACCTCAGCTGTTTAACAGTATCTAAATTTTTAGAATTCCTGGACTAACATCTCATATTCTAAACCACTGATGTACCAAGAGTAGCACAACTCATTTGATGGGGTGTAAAGTAGAAAGCAACCATCTCCTAATATATATATATATATATATATACATATATATATACACACACATATATATATATAAGACACAAGGCTCAACCTTTAACAACATGTTGTAATCTCTTTTAAGGGCTTTATGGCTCCAGAGTGAAATACAACAATCTTTATACACTTTCCTTTAAGGAAAAATATTTGAATAATTTTTTGAAGATTATTTATAACAAGTAATACAAAATAAATTATTTAGGTCCTATTTGGGAGGCAGGGTGGAAACATTTAAAATATGGTGGTGGGTAAGTGTAATAGTGGTGTATTGGTGTTGGAATATTAAATGTAACAAATTGTTGTGGACAACTTTATAAAAATAAAAATTAATTTAAAAATAAAATAGGGCTGTTGAAATGTGAAAAAATAAAATAATATGCATTTTATTAATTTTTTAAAACTACAGGTTATTTTAAAGTACTGAAGTAATTATTGAACAAATTAAGCTCTGTTAGGAATAATTTCTAGAGTAACTTATTCTATGAACAAAAGTATAAATTAGTATGTTATCAATTTGAATAATGTCATGATAAAAGAGCAATTTTAATTTGACAGTTTAGAGATCATATAGTTACTTTCCCTTTAACATAATTTTAAAACTTTCTAAGTCATCTATTGCAATTTCAGGACAAAAATCTTATATATTTCATATATACCTTATATGGACTATATGTTATATATCACATCTAAACTCTAGATTTTTTGGACTTCTGATAATTCTCAAAATCTAGAGTTTTGTTTTAGGTTTGCATTTATCCATCTTATTTTGCAGTCACTTGAGATATCCAAAATGGCAACTTTGATAGGACTAGTGCTTGACTGCAGGTTTTTTAAATGGTGGATTATGGTAGTATTCTTTGGTCAATGTATCTGACAAAATGAAAGTTTCAGAACTGAACTAGCACAGCGGTAGGGCGTTTGCCTTACAAGCGGCCAACATGGCCGCAATCTGAGTTCGATTCCTCCGCCCCTCTCGGAGAGCCCGGCAAGCTACCGAGAGTATCTCGTCCGCATGGCAGAGCCTGGAAAGCTACCCGTGACGTATTTGATATGACAAACACAGTAACAACAAGTCTCATGATGGAGACGTTACTGGGCCCGCTCGAGCAAATCGATGAACAACAGGAGGACCGTGACCAATCTTTGAATCAAATAATATTGTAAGTGGACTAGTTTGTTAAAGTATCACTTAATCACTTAATCACTTAATCCCCGTTATTCATCGATTTATTCGAGCGGGTGCCAGTAACGTCTCCATTCATCCCGGTTGTGTGCTAGCATAGCCCAGTGGTATCTGTTCCTTCTAGGAACATGCAGAGCTTCAAACCGATCATTTAGGGTCTTGACGAAGAAGTCTGACCATCTTATAGGTGGGCGTCCACGTGATCTTTTGATGTCCCGTGGAATCCAATCAGTAATGGCTCTAGTCCAGCGGTTGTCTGTAAACCTCATTACGTGTCCAGCCCATCTGATTTTTGATGTCTTGGCAAATGAGACAGCGTCCCTGATTCTTGAGCGTTGACGAAGATCAGAATTCCGGATTCTATCTCTCATTTGAGTGAATCGTGATATTCCAAGCATAGTTCCTCTTTGAGAGACCCGAATAGCGTTCTCATCCTGTTTTCGTAGGGTCCAGGTCTCTGAGGCATATGTTAATGCAGGAAGAATAGTGGAATCAAAGAGATGTGCTCGTAGCTGGAGGTTCTTTGTCCTTTTAGTTATTTCTTCAATGTTCTTGAAGGCATTCCAAGCCGCTCTCTTCCTCCTGCGCAACTCAGGTGCCAGGTCATTCATCATGTTGATTTCTCGACCTAGGTATATATAACTGTTGCATTCGGAGATGGTGGTTCCATTGAGAGCGAATGGAGCGTCAGGAACAAGGCTGTTTCTCATAAACATTGTCTTCGTAAGATTCAGCTATAGTCCGACCTTTCCACATTCACGGTTAAAGTCGTTCAGCATTTGTGCTGCTTGGCTGATGTTTGGTGTTATTAGAACGATGTCATCAGCAAAGCGGAGGTGGTGTAGTTGCCGACCATCTATCTTCACTCCCATGTTTTCCCATTCCAGTCGTCGCATGATGTTCTCGAGGGTGGCACTGAAGAGTTTTGGTGAAATGGTATCACCCTGTCGAACCCCTCTCTTGATATGGATGATTACTTCTTTGTAGAATGGTGAGATCTTGGTAGTGAATCCGCAATAGAGTTCATGAAGGATCCTGATGTATTGAGTTTGTACGCCCTGATTGGCTAGGGCTTCCATGACCGCTTCCGTCTCAACAGAATCAAAGGCCTTCTTTAAATCAATGAACGTTAGACAGAGCGGCATCTTGAACTCCCGAGATACCTCAATGAGCTTGGTTATTGTGTGGATATGGTCGATGGTACTGAATCCTTTTCGGAATCCAGCTTGTTCACATGGTTGTCCTTCATCTAATGTTCTGCTAATCCTATTCAGGATGACTCGAGTGAATAGTTTGTAGATGACAGACAATAGGCAGATTGGGCGATAGTTGCCAATGTCGTGGATGTCTCCTTTCTTGTATAGTAGTACAGTCCTGCTGGTTTTCCATTGGGATGGAACCTTGCATTCAGACAGGTAGCGTGTGAAGAGTCGAGCCAATGTATTGATGAGTACTGATGGTAAGTTCTTCAGGTGTTCAGGTCTGATCTTGTCTGGGCCAGGTGCTCTTTGTTTCTTTACCGACGAGATGGCATGTTGGATTTCGGAAGGGAGAACATTGGGAACTACATATCCATCATGTGGTATGTGGTATGTGGGCAAGTGGATGTGGCTATTAAAGAGATCTGAGTAGAAGTCATGAATAATCTTCTCCATTGCCCTTCTGGAAGATGTGATAGATCCATCATGATGTCGGAGGGCAGTCATCTTGGTTTTGTAGTTGGTGAAGGACAGGCGGGCATTACGAATGTTTTTCCCAGCTTCTGCTGCATCTACCAGTACTGCTGCTCTCCTGTTTTTGAGGTCATCCTTGATGGCTTCTCTGCACTGTTTTGCCAGTTCGGATGTTCGCTTGTGGTTGCCTGAGGCATTGCCAAGCCACGTTGGTGAATAAGTTCAAGAGTGTTCGAAGAAAGACGGTTTTTTGTGGTTATCTCTCTCTTGGCATTCCTTGCACAATCATGGAGGTGCTGAATCATTCGATCGTATTCCTCATCAATGTTGTCAATGACGGCATCTTCCCATGTTGCTGCAATAGAGCCAAAGAGCTCCCAGTTGGTGGTTGTTCTGGGAGTCCTCTTCTTAAACCTTGTATTCTTTTCTCCTCGTTCTGTGAGGTAGAATTTTGCACGAAGAAGACGGTGGTCTGATCCCGTTTGGAATTTTGGGACAACAGCAACATCGGTTAGGCAAAACTGCCGATTGAATATGATGTGGTCTATTTCATTGTGGAACCGTCCATCGGGAGACTCCCATGTCCAACGTTTAGATTCAGTCTTTTGGAATTGTGAGTTACCATGGAAGGTTTTGGTTTACATGATGAACTCAGACAGTCTGTCACCCTGTTCGTTCCATTCCAGGTCATGGGTTCCGATGTGGAGTTCATCGACTAATCTTCTTGGTCCTATCTTGGCATTAAAATCACCGACAATGATCTTGTAGAAGGTGTGATCTTCTTTATAGAACTTCTCCAGCTCCATGTAGAATTTCTCAGTTTCTCTTTCACCATAACTGGATGTTGGTGCATAGACAACAAAGATAGAAACTGCTGGTAGTGAGCCACATTTATTCAAGTGTAATCGTCCGATTCGGGTTGTTAGGCATTCGAATGAATCAATGCTCGTGACTAAGTTTGTGTTGACAAGGATACCGACACCACCGATGCCTCTTTTATCACATGTTCCAAGGAACAGTTCTTCTCCAGTGTCGAAAACAGCATGATCCAGTAATAAATGGATCTCATTTCCCTAACCCTGAATATGCAGAGTCGAGAAGGATATGGAAGGAGAGGCTGATAAAACACCAAGGCAGACATAGGCTGCCAAAACGCAGAAAAACAAAAATGATTGTCTGTACTTTTAATGCTCGTACACTGGCATCTGCTGCATCCATTGAAGACCTTATGGTACAAGCGCGAAAGATCAAGTACGACATCATTGGTCTGACCAAAACGAGAAGACATCAATCCCATCATGCTGTTTTGTTAAAGTATATAATATATAAAAGTGGAATTTTTCCACAGTTTAGTTTCTATAATCCATGACTCATACAATATTTATAAATTCCAGGTATGCATTTTTGTTTCTTTTTTAAAATGTTGAGTATTGACTAGTAAAGTAACATTGTGTTCCAAGTTATTCCCAAGAATATCAATTTCAAAATTAAATCATATTGAAACAAAAAAATCTTTTCCACCTAAGACATTTTCAAAACTGTGATTTAAAGAAAACAAGATTGTATCTTTAAAAGAACTGGAGATTTTTCTCTAAAAATAATCTTTTTAAAGTCAGTAAGTATTTTTGCATCATATTATTCTCAATGTAGACTTTATAACCTAAAATTTGAATAATCAAAGAAAAAATGCAAAGCATTTAGATGTAAGAAATGCACAGTGGAAGCAAATGTTTATTTTTTATTAGTTTTCGGGCATTGCAGGTGACAAAGGACTATGTACTTGGTCTCTCCAGTCAAAATAATAGCAATATTCACATACCCTGGAAAAGTATCTACAGAATGATATCCACTGCATTCTTATTAACAGCTTTGAATTGCAGTGCTAACTGCCCAGGATGTTAAAAAAAAAAAGAAAAGAAAAATATACTGACCAAGCATACATATTAGCTTTTCTAGCATTAATATCTTCGTGAGGGTTCATGGGAATTCTGTGCTGCAAAAAGCTCAGCTGAAAAAAAAGTCACTTCCTGCCCAGAAGGCAGAGTGCCTGGGAGCTGAAGCAATTTGTCTGTGCTCACCAGGTTCTTACTCTTCCAAAATCAAGCAAGTGCATTTTCTGCAGTTGTTATATTTCCCATGACAATAGTTCACAGTGAAGAATGTGACAACTTACAAAGTGCTGGTTTTAAAGAGGCCTTGCTTTAACTTATTTTTTAAATCATTGAAATAGGAACAAGACCTGGGTCCAGATGGACAAACTTCCCTAAATCTGTGTGTCACTTTAAATAGCCCTAGTTTCCCCAGTTCACCAGAAAGAGGTTAACTGTTGCACCGGCAAGGAGAGCTTAGTAATGATTGTGCTCATGGGGTCAATTAAATGCGCGAAGACACTTACTGCAACGAAAAGAAGATGGCGCAGCTGGACAGAATGACCATGGGGAGCAGGCAGTAGCCCAGTACACTAGCCACGCAGCCGTAGGACACCCCTGAAGAGCTCATCAAGTTTAGCAAGGCATGAATCCCTAGGCAGCCAATGGCACTCATACCATACACGTAGCCAAACTGGACTTTTCCTGCCTGGAATGAGAGGAAAACAGAACACATAGCAATCAGCAGGAGAACATCAGAATGCCAACAAAGCAGAGAGCATTTTAAAATCAATCAGCAAATTGCTGCCACCACCTCTTCAGTACAATCAAGACACTGGGAGAGCGAGGAAAAAAGCAGGCTGCAACATGAAATCAGTTTCTGAAAACTGCCCTCGCGATATCACAAGAATGCGACCAAAACAATAAAATATTTCTAGACTTGTCTATTTCTCCACTGAGTGCTTATTAGGGATACAAGGCATAAGGATAACTTTTCTCACCATATTTGTTGAACTACTGAGTGAATTAAGGAAGAACTTCAAATTTACAACAGGAAATATTTTAGTTTATTTGCAAATTTTAGGCTATACCTATTTATTTACCTTCTTGTTCATTTGTTTATTTATTACGGGTATATGTGTTGTGATGTGTTTATGTGCATGTGGGTGTGTGTGTGCACGCACGCGCACGTGTGCACGAGTGTGCACACGCACACCAGACTCTGTAACGCTCAGAGCCTACTCCTTGCTCTTTAGATTGCCTAGAGATTAGTCTTGGTGGTGCTTGGTAGAGAACATGCAGTGCTGGGGACCAAACTGGGTCTACAAGTGCAAGGCAAGTATCTTTCTGGCCTCTGTTTATTTATGTTTAATTAACCTTGCCACATTTGTTCCTTTTGCTGGGTCATTGCAGTGACTAAAAGTCACACCATGCTTGACTACAGTGCTTGTATATCAAGTTGTGGTGCTCACTAATTGGTCTCAGGGCTCACTAAGGTGTCTCAGGCCTTCCACTGTGCTACTTTCAGATCTGCCTGCAGGAGTCTGAGATCATATGCACCTACCACTCTATCATGTGGAATCACACTCAGATCAATTGAATGATGTTAGGGATAAAACTCAAAGTCTCATGCTTTGCAAGTCTTTTAACCACTGGACCCCAACAGTGAACATTTTATTTTATTTTGTTGTTTCTTTGGCCACATCCTGCAGTACTCAGGGGTTACTCCTGGCACTCTATGCTGAGAAATTTTTTTCTACTGGGCTTGGGAGACCATATGGGATGCTGGATATCAAACCCAGTCAGCTGCATGCAAGGCAAGCACGCTAAACACTGTACTATCACTCTGGCCCCAACAGGGAATATCTTACTAACAGCTGCTCGAAGATCTCAAAATTCCATTAACGAATGCACTTGGATGTGGAAAATAAATGAACAGAAACTTCGTCAAAGAATAAATAAAAAGAAACCCCAAAAGCATGTGAAGCATCTATCTCGCTAATCATCAAGGAAATGTAAATCAAAACAACAACGAGATATCACCTCACACCAGAAACTGGCACACATCAAAAAGAACAACAACAATGAGAATGTGGGGGGAAAGGGACCCTCATTCACTGCTGGTGGGAATGTCAAGTTGTCCAGCCTTTTTGAAAGATAACATGGACTTTCCTCAAAAAAATCCCTAGAAATTCCTGCTTCCATGTGACACAGCAATTCTGTGCCTGGGAATATACCCGAGGTGCCCAAAAGAACAAAGCAGAGAAGACATATGCACACTTTATGTTCACTACAGAGCTCTATATAATAGCCAAAATATGGAAACAACCCAAATACCCAGGAAGAGTTGACTGAATAAAGAAACTGTGTTACATTGTATACATAGTGGAATTCTACTCAGCCTTTAAAATGATAAAGTCATGCAATTTGCTGCAATGTGGATTGATCTGTAGAATGTCATGTTGAACGAAATCAGTTAGAGGGAGAATAGCAGACTCATATTATTGGGATATAAAGAACCCTCGGGGGGTGTATCTAATGCTCCAAAGCAATAGAAACAAAGAAAAGGAGAGTTGGTCTTAAGTCGGATGCTCGACACTGGGACAGGGGTGGGGGTAGTAAATTGGGGAGGGGGGGGAATTCCAGGATAATGGAGAATAGGAAAAGAATCTGCCACATAGGGAGACTGGGGGGTGGGAGGGAAACTGGAAATATTGGTGGAGGCTAGTGGGTGGGCACTGTTGAAGGGATTGATGTTGGAACAATATACACCTGAAACAATTATAGATGTCTTTGTAACTTTGTAATTAACAGTAATTCAATTTTAAGTGCTTCTGGTTTTACTACTTATATAAAGTTGAGTAAATACTCCAATAAAGATTGACTAGGCTATTTTCTATGAGAATTGTACTGAAACAATAAAAGAGCTGGCAGACTGATTTATAGAGAGATTTTGAAGCCATCTCCTTTATAGTTATCACCCTTGAAGTCCTTATATATTGAACATTAAAGATATTTATCTTGCAACTAATTACGTTGTAATGTAGATTGCTATGACATTTTAGTATTCAAAATTGTCAAGCTGTTTTTCTTGAATTTTTCTTCCTCAGCAGTTAGGGGAGTTGGTTACTATTCAATATTTTTCCCACAAAATATCCTTAAGCTACACCAGCAGAAGGCTGTCCTGCATTAGGCATGATAAAGTTCTTGCTGAATAGCTCTGTATTCTTGTGGCTAATGCTTTGAAATAATGCTCATAGAACTAACGGACCTGCTGAGAGAAACACATTAGTCATGCACTGCCCTAATGGGCGAATTTACTCTACTTAGAAAATATTGACTACTCCAAATCACATCATTATATTAAAGAATCGTTTCATATGTGAACCACTATTTTAATTAGATCATTCTAAGGTAGACTTCAGTGATGAAGGGCAACTCCCTTACATCCAGGGATACATAAGAATCTTCCTTATCCACAAAGTTTTGTGAATGGTGTGAGATAAACTGGGTACTTTGGTAGTAAAATTGCCCCTTTCCTATTAGTTACTGAACTCCCCCTCTTGAAAAAAAATTCTCTTGTTTTTTTTTCTCCAAATTAAGTTGCAATGTCATTAGACTGGGGTCACTGCTGCCACTTTTCATTTTGTTTCCATTTTAACAAGGACTTGTAATTAAAGTGGGGAAATTAAAGTTTACATTTCCTTTTAACCTCAAAATTGTTTATCCTATAAATAACTTATTTGGGGACTGAGAGAGATAGCTCAAGTGGTCAAGAACATGCTTAGCATGTTCAAGGTGCTGAATGTGAGTCCTGACACACTGCATGACCTCCTGAGCACTACTGGGTAGAGATCTGGTGATTGTTCAGCACCACTGGCCATGTGGGCTAAGCTCTTTGTAGTGGCCCTGGACACCACTGGAGTATTCCCTGTTAAATAAAACTGCTATCAAATGATTTAATTTCATTTTTACTTGGAAAAACATAGAAGCTCAATATGAAGAGATGAATATTCAGATATGTCACTGTGTGTCATATTTTGTGGTACTAAGCTTACTCAAAATGGGTATACAGAATGTTGAGAAGTTTGTGAAACCAAAGCTTCACACTGTAGCTGAAAACAGATTGGTCACAAAATGTCCATTCAGTAAAAATTCTGTATTTGCTTGTTGTTTTTAAAGTGTTTTTTCAAAATCCTGCGTAGAATAAGACAGACCTTTTGGAGATTCAATTATACAGTTTTAGGAGAAAAGCATGAGGCCCTCAGTTTTTTTTTTTCAAACCAAAACAAGGATAATTTTATTTGGGTTTTGTAGGTGACTCCCCTTCAGACAACTAGGTCAACTAGTTCTAGTTTCTATATAAGATTTTCTCCTTGAAGGCTCCAGAATAAAACTTTCTAAACAGTTTTTTTCCCAGTTAGTATCAATTAGAAAAGAGTGCAAGTTTTCAAATATTTCTATAGTAGAGTAAAAAACAGGGTCATTTTTAATTCTTAGTTTGCATTATTTTGGACAAACTGGCAGGCTACCGAATGTAACCTGCCCACATAGCAGAGTCTGGCAAACTCCCCGTGGCATACCCAGTATGCCAAACACCAGTAACAATGAAGGGTCTCATTCTCCTAACTCTGAAAGAGCCTTGAATATGGCACTTTTTTTTAAAAGTCTCAGGGCTAGGACGAAGGAAACGTTATTGGGGCCGGCTCAAGGCAATTGACAAATAACAGTTTGCATCATGAAAATAAATTCCACACTACATAATTCATATATATATATAATAATTCATATATGTATGTTGTCTTTAGGATACACCTGGCAATGCCCAGGGCTTATTCTTGGCTCTGCACTCAGAAAGTACTACTGACGGTGCACGGGGGACCATATGGATGCTGAAGATGGATCCCAGGTAGGCTACACACAAGGCCAAACACCCTATCCCCTATACTGTGACTCCAGCCCCGTGTAATACATATTTAATGAATAGGCATAATATTATTTAGTTTGTTTTTGGGGGAGAGACCAGGCCTCATAATCCTCGGGAGTATGTACCTCCCACTCAGTATTCAAGGATTGTTCCTGGAGGTGCTCTGGGAACCATGCAGAGCAGAACTGAACCAAAGACTCCCTCACAGAAAATACATACTCCAGTCTTTTGAGCCCTCTCCCCAACCTCAGAATTATATAGATTTTAAATTGAAAATATTTTTGAGTCCACACTGTACTATCCTCATTGCTACATTACTTGATCTGAAAAAACATACCATTTTTCTGATTCCAATTTTATATTGGTCATGCATGTTCCTTTCAAATATTACATTAGTTTTTATTTTATTTTTATTTTATTTTTGGGGGTACACTAGTAGCGCTCAGGTACTACTCCTGGCTCTGTAGTCAGAGGTTGCTTCTGGTGGTGCTCGGGGGACCTTGTGGTGCCAGAGATTGAACCCCAGTCTCCCGCATGTTCAGCTCACTGAGCTTTCTCTCTGGACCCACACTTTTAGCTTACCAAAAAAATAAGTGGAGCCATTATTTAAACTACTGATCTTTGTTTGTTTGGTTTTTTTTGGGGGGGGGGATGGTAGAGGAAAAAAAGCAGAATTAATTTGTTAAACCACTATTTTTGATTGCTTTTCCTTGAAAAAAAAAGAGAAGAGAAACTACAATAAGATTTATGTCTTCTTCAACATCAGTCATGAAAATAATGAATATGTGACTCAAATGTTATACCTCCAAGAGAATGAACACATTTGAACACTGTCTCTGATATAGTATTACGGTCTGTTGGGGAATGGTGTGTGTGTGTGTGTGTGTGTGTGTGTGTGTGTGTGTGTGTGTGTGTGTGTGGTGGGGGGGGATGAGAACAGAGGGACAGAGAATAGGACAGTGAAGGGATATTGGTACTTCGTGGTGAAGGAGGCACGGTAAGACTGTATGCCTGGAGTATAAATATTAACACTAATGGAAGCCATGTTTGCTCAGCAATATTAGTTCTTAAACGACAGCAATAAGAAACAAGGTACATCACCAGAAGCAGGGTGGCTCCTAGAGCAATGCAAAACAGGATGGGACCCGTGAGGTCAGTTTCATTCATAATGCTGCCATCTGCTGGCTTCAATGGGTTTAACACTGTCAAGGTTTTTTGCCATATGTGATCAAAATTAATTCCAAGTTCTGCAGAAAGAAAGAAAATCAAGGAGATAAAATAAATGTTGGAAATATACACGTATGTATAACTCTTTCAAGCTGGTTATGCCATTATTGGTTTACTTAGCATTTTTATATCTGATGTTTATACTTTTGTAAAAATAATCACAGTTACATATAGTATTTGAAATCTTAAAGAAACACAGTAAGGTTTTGTTTCCAGACAAGTAAAACATAGTTTAATAAACTATCTCATCAAGATAATAGCTGGGGTTGAAGCGATAGCACAGCAGTTAGTGTTTATCTTGCACTTGGCTGACCCGGGCTCGATTCCCAGCATCCAATATGGTCCCCCAGTACCGCCAGGAGTGATTCCTGAGTGCAGAGCCAGGAGTAACCCCTGAGCATTGTCAGGAATGACCCAAAAAGGGGGGGGGGAGATAAAAATTCCTTCCATAATCTGCAATATAAACTTAAAATATAGTTTAAAATTTATAACTGGAGGCGCTGGAGTGATAGCACAGCAGGTAGGGCATTTGCCTTGCATGCAGCCAACATGGCCGACCCTGGTTCGATTCCCAGCACCCCATATGGTCCCCCGAGCACTGCCAGGAGTAATTTCTGAGTGCATGAGCCAGGAGTAACCCCTGTGTGTCGCCGGGTTTGACCCAAAAAGCAAATATATATACATATATATATATGGATATTTTTACATAAAGAAATAAAAGGGGAGAGAGGAGCGTGTGGAAAGGGTCAAATTGGAACAATAATGGAGAACCCTGTCATTAACAGTACATATAAACACTGTAGCACTGTCCTCCCATTGTTCGATTTGCTCGAGCGGGCACCAGTAACATCTCCACTGTGAGATTTGTTGTTACTGTTTTTGGCATATGGAATACTTCACGGGTAGCTTGCCAGCTTTGCCCTGCAGGCGGAATACTCTCAGTAGTTTGCTGGGATGTCCGAGAGGGGCAGAGGAATCGAACCTTGGTCGGCCGCGTCCAAAACAAACGTCCTACCCGCTATGCTATTGCTCCCGCCCAACAGTACATATTAAAGGTAAAAGGTAAAGGCCCTCCCGTTGATCGTCGATTTGCTCGAGCGGGCCCAGTAACGTCGCCATTGGAGACTTTGTTGTTACTGTGTTTGGCATATCGAATACTCTCGGTAGCTTGCCGGGCTCTCCGAGAGGGGTGGAGGAATCGAACTCAGGTCTGCCATAGTTGGCCGCTTATAAGGCGAACGCCCTACCGCTGTGCTATGGCTCCAGCCCATATTAACAGTACATATTAACAGTAAATAACAGTGCCTCTATGAAGATGAGAGGAAACTATAGCTAAGAACAGAAGATCTATTTACATATTTCCTTTTCCTTCATTTTTCAATTGCTAACACTTCCAAACACTTTCAAACCCTTGTTGCATCAGAGAACTTTTTTAATTGACAGTATAATCTAAACTAGAGATACTTGACCCTGATCTGGGGTTTTGTTTTTATACAGACTAATGAGAACACTTTTATGCAAACTGCCTAAAATGCCACTGGGGAGAAAAACAAGTAAAAGGAATCATGAGTCTTTTTTATCTTATCAGTATCTATAAGGCTGAGACTGTGGATGCAAAACTTCTTATTTTGTTTATTTGTTTGCAAAAGTTGAAAAAGTTCTTTTTTTGTTTGTTTGCTTTTTCACTTTGGGTCACACCCAGAGGCACTCAGAGTTTACTTCTGACTCTGCTTTTAGGGATTATTCCTGGTGATGCTTGGAGGACCATATGTAGTTCCAGGATTGAACCTGGGTTGGCAGTTTTCAAGGCAAGTGCTCTACACCCTGTACTATCTCTCTGGTGCTAAAAATTATTATTATTATTATTATTATTATTATTATTATTATTATTGGGCTGGAGTGATAGCACAGCAGGTAGGGCATTTGTCTTGCACGTGGCTGAGCTGGGTTTGATTTCTTTGTTCCCCTTGGAGAGCCGGGCAAGCTACCGAGAGAATCCGGCCTGCTCAGCAGAGCCTGGTAAGCTCCCCGTGGTGTATTTGATATGCCAAAAACAGTAACAAAATGTCTCACAATGAAGACATTACTGGTGACCGCTCAAGCAAATTGATGAACAATGGGAGGACAGTGCTACAGTGTTATTATTATCATTATTTTTTATTATTATTATTATTATTATTATTATTATTATTTTGCCCACACCGAGGGTTCAGGACTCACCCCTTGCTCTGTATTCAAGGATCATCCCTGGTGGTTCTCAGAGGAACCATATGGAGGGCTGGGGACAAAATCTGTGTTGGCTGCTTGTAAGACAGTACTATCACTCTGTACCATCACTCTGGATCCCCCAAATTAAATCACAGTAGTTAAGATAGGAAAGTCCAAGTGGTTTGTAAGAGGATTTGTAATTTTATAATGGTTGTATTGTTTTCAACTGATCTCAGTTCTCCCAGCGGAATAAGTGGCTATTGTATAGCATTCAACTTCTTTTCCCAGGTTTTAGAAACACTTTGTGGTCAGATACAATGTATAGTTCAACTTCTGTTTCAGTGGCACATACTATATAGATATGTATATAATATGCACATATACTATATGTGAGAAAGTGTATAAACAGAATACAGAATAGATTCCCACTTTCCACCCCCTGATGCCAGAGATTAAATCCAGGGCCTCAGGTATATGAATCACTTGCTTTACCACCCAGCTAAATCCCTGATCCCAAGTAACTGTAGTACTTTTGGTTTAATACAGAACTACACTTTTCAGAAAGACAATCTGACTAATGCTAAGATCAGAGAGAAAGTGTATTTTTAACATTAGTTCCACAGGCAGATTGACTAGAATTAGACAGTTTAACCTAATACAGAGAATGGGTCAGAGCAATAGTATAGCAGGTAAGGGCACTTGCCATAACATGGGCAGAACTGGGTTCAATCCCCATGACCACATATTGTCTTGAAAGCCCCTCCAGGAGTGATGCCTGAGTCCGAGTACCCGCCACCAAAAAAAAAATTGATTGTGCATCACACCAAAAAAATTAACAAAGAAAAAATCATTTATATTTCAACTTTTATGTTGCATCCCTTTTATTTTCTATGTATTTGAATATTTTTAAATGAATATACACTAAAAAATGCGAGCAGTTCTCCATTTTTAAAATGAGGAGAGATAGTACAAGGAGTAGAAGCTTGCCTTACTTGCAAATATTCTGGTACAATCAAACAACCACTGGCACTACATGTGCTCACCGAGTCCCACGAGGCATGATCCCTTAGCACAGAGCCATAATTAAATCCTGAGCACCACCAGGTAGAGCCCCCCACCCCCAAATGTTTTTAAAGGAAGAACTTTGTAGTTTAATTTCCCTGGTGTCTTTTGTTGTCTTCAAATTTCATTTTCAATGTATACATTTATGGTAGCAGTATGTTTTCAGTATTTATTACAATAAAGTGGCCTTGAATTCAAAATTCTCATTTCCTCAAAAAACCTAGAAGGAATTCCTAGGTATTTCTATAAAATAAAGCTCAGATGAAAGATTATTTGTGAATATTATTACTGGTTTTATATTTTATTTGATAACATAATTAACTTCTGCATGTCTTAAACACAAAGTCTTCAGTTAATGAGCATACAAAAATCTACTGTCTTAAAAATAGATTTTCTGTTTTCTACATAAATGTGCCTTCATAATATTTTTCTTTAAAATTTATTATAGAATATGCAAATGATATTGTATTTACTAGTTATAGATACCCTAATGTGAAACCTTGTTGCACATAGAGATGAAACTGCTATGAAATTTGAATGTAAAGTTTATTGTTTTGCTGTCATCTAGTGGTAGTAAAGTATACAATATATATAGTCTATAAAATGATTTAATATCTTCATTTTCTATGCAAATTGTGACATTGGTCTTGCCCATGTAAACATTAGATTATGCAATAAATACAAGCACCAAATATCTCAGTAATGTTTCTCTTTCGACAGACTTGAATTGGCTATTTTTCTTCAAGATATAGATTGCATACTATCAAATAGCAAAATTTATTCTTACATAAAACCAAAGAAGCTTTTTAGGAAAAAGAATCTATAAGAAATAAATAAGCATGTTTCAAATAACATGCATTTTTACAAGGTATATTATTATAGCTTCATAATTTTATAGGCTGTTTTGGTGTATACTCAGTAAAAACTAGTAAATGTCATTTATCACCTTATACTAGAAATCTTGCTACAGCTTTTTCATATCTTTTAGACAGTTGACCCTTGAAGCTTTTACAAAGTCACTTAAATGGAAACACATATTGAATCTGAACCTAGAAATTTAATAGATTCAAAATATAAGATTGCATTAGGTGCTTCTGTTCTAACATACTATATATTGAGGGAGAAAAGAAAAATACATCTAGAAATTTTCTCTGAGCTATATTAGTAGAAATAAAATGTAGTTTATTTTCTATTCAAACTTAAGGTCACATTAGGGGAGAATGTATTAGTGCTCAGGATACCACAATAGCAACATTTCAGAGAAGTGAAAACGTTTATTTTCAGACAACATCATATGAAAATTTAAAAGTAAATAAAGTCAAAATAAAGTCAAAACCCAACTTCACACATTAACCAAAATCAACTCTCAATATACAAACTTTGAGTGCTAAACAGAAAACAATTAAAAAAATAATAATCAGGGTCAAAAATAGTTTTAATACAAACCTACACTTTTTCAGAAAGACAATCTGACTAATGTTAAGGTCAGAGAGAAAGTATATTTTTACATTAGTTGACAGCGGTCAGGGGCCTTGTCTTCATGAATAGGGAGCCAATACTTAGAGGCTGGGAGGACCGAGTGTGATCCTGATGATCACTGTACATTGTCAGGGTAGTTCTAGTTGTTCACAGAACTGCTGGGATTATGCATTCCCCAGCAGCTCCTGGAATAGGTGGGAATAGCCATTGAATCTCCTGAGCTCTGCTTGGGAAGCCCCTGCCAAAAGAGTTAATTTAATTATTTAGGAGGATATAAGCACGTTTAAAAACTGGAGGAATGCATTCGAAGCAAAAGAACAAAATGCATTGCAAACATGAGTATTGTGTAATCAAAACTAAGGTTTCTGCTTGATCTACTAATGTTCCATAAGTAAATTAAATGACATATGATCCAGAAAAAATATTGAAGTATCTTTCCAAGTAATAATATTGTTACTGGACAAATATCTCTTTAAGCACACCAAAAAAGGGAAATGTTAAGATGTCAAAAAAAAAAAAAAAAGCCTGACAGAGACTCATAAATGAATCTTAGAAAAGAGCAGAATGCAACAGAGATGTCTCCCATCCTGTGCCCAGGCACCTCAGAGAGGGGTAGATGTGTCCCTCCACCTGCCCCAAATAAACCCCAGCAGCCACAAACTTCCAGAATCTAATCTCCGTCACACTCACAACCAACCTTCACAGGCCCGCCCTGAATCCCACTCCCCCCACCCCCACGCATGAGAAATAATCCACTGAAAAACCCAGGTATGTAGGACCAGTGATTGAAAACTTCAGGCCTCTGGAGTTGGGAATGGGTGACCTCCTCCCAACTCCCTGCCCTTTGGTTTCATTGTAGTCATGCCCACAATCTGCCTCTGGGAGCCATTTAAGCGCATTAATGGCTAAGATCCAGAGACTCACAAATGATTCTCGGAAGAGAACAGCATGCTGCAGAAACGACTTCAGGCTCCAAATATTTAAAATTTTTGAATTCCAGGAGCGGAGCACATAACTGCTTTTTGAAGCCATGTCATATTTCATACTATTCATGACAAGCAATATAAAATTAATTATTTATCATCTGCCTTTGGTTCAGGCTTAGTTGGAGGTGGGAAAATTTGAAATCATGGCGGTAGGAAGGTGTAATGGTGGGGTATTGGTGTTGAAATATTGAGTGTAATCAGTTATTATGAACAACTCTATGAAAATTAATTTTTTAAAAGCCTGATAAAGAACCTGAAAAACAGTTAAAACAATGAAAGGAAAAAATGAAAAACTTTTCTAATAACCAAGAGAAGCACTACATTTTTGCCTATCAAATTAATAGATATTTCATATTCTGCTATGAATATATAATGGAATATTCTCTTTTGAGATCAATTTGACAGTAGTTACCTTAAGACCAGGCAATCACATTATTCTGGATAATATTTAAGTACAATAACTACACAGGTCAAAACTGTTTACTATATTGTGGGGCTGGAGAGACAGCACAAGCACAGCAGGTAGGGTGTTTGGGTGTTTGCCTTGCACGTGGCCGACCTGGTTCGATTCCCAGCAACCCATATGGTCCCCTGAGCACCGCCAGGAGTAACTCCTGAGTACAGTGCCAGGAGTAACCCCTGTGCATCGCTGCATGTGACCCAAAAAGAAAAAAAAAATGTTTACTATGTTGTTAATCAGTACAGTACTTATTAGAAACACAATATAAGTCCAATTTAATTTATAATATTCTACTATGATAAAAAATTATGAAGCCATATATACTTTGTTCTTCTGTGATACTTAGTGACTTAAAATGAATGTATGTATAAATAAAATTCCAACACAATGTGATCTTAAAAAATACTGCCAAAAAGTATAACTATAGAATGATACAATGCTTATTTTTAAGGATTGTTAAAACTACATTCATATTTATAGGTTATATTTTTAAATTTCATTAAAATTAAGCCTGGAAGTAAAAAAGTTCAAATTATGAGGAACAGTTATGTCTCAGATACAAAATTTTAGGTGATTTTTCATGCTTTTACTTTTTTCCAATTTTCTATACTGTATACAGACTACAATTCTAATTAGACAACTGATCCTTGTGAAGAGAATTTGGTGTAGTCAGAGAAAATGTTTCATAACATTTGGTGTTGATTATTAGTTGCAAAGACAAAATAGAATGAATTGGCTAAAAATACTCAAACTCCCTACCATCCTCGCATTTCCCTCCACAGAGAAAACACTAAAAAGAAATCTATGAATGGAGCATATCTAAAATGCTCAGATGAACTGAAACTGCCAGGTTCAAGATTCCTATTGACTTATAGTGTCATTTACTGGGATCATATTTAATAACCGCAACAATAGCAGGTATATGCTTCCAGTCCCCTCCCCTCAAAATGAAACTAACTTTTTAAAATTTTTTTTTTATTTTTTGCTTTTTGGGTCACACCTGGAGATGCACAGGGGTTCCTCCTGGCTCTGCACTCAGGAGTTACTCCTGGCAGTGCTCAGGGGACCATATGGGATGCTGGGAATCGAACCCGGGTTGGCCGCGTGCAAGGCAAACGCTCTACCTGCTGTGCTATCTCCCCAGCCCCATAAAAATGAAACTAACTTTTAATAGTTTAAGGGTTTTGGTTTTGCAGTCTCATATTTATGTTTGGAGCGATCACACATAAAAAAACAGCGTGCTGACTGCATATACTAAGTGGTAATTACTGCTCTCCCACTTGGAGCTGTACAAACATTAATAGCATTTTCTTAACTTATCTTCTAGCAAAGGAGGTTCTTCATCAAAATTGTCCATGTAAGAAGATTGTGAATAATAGTCTGGGTTGGATCCTGGCTGGAAAATTTGTCCTGTGTAACCCGATGTCATGAGCATCTCTGAGGGAACAAACGAGGTAGGATATGGCTGTTCACTGGAGTGCTGTCTAAAAAAAAAGGAAAACACGAGTGATTATGAAAGAAATAACTTGCATAGGGGCTAAAGAGATCATACAAGAGCTAAACATTTGCAGCCAACCCTGGTTATGTCCTTGGCACTACGTGTCTCCTGAGTATTTAATAAGTACAGCAAAAGCACATACATGCTTCCTGCAGCAGCCCTGGAGGTCTTCCCGGAAGGTGGTCTAGAAAATCCCTGGCAGCACCACCACATTCTTGGGGCCCCCTCATTGAACTGCTGTCCTAGTTGACCAAGAATCACTGGAAAGGATTCTGAACCACTTAAGGTACCACTTGAGAGCCCCAGCACCCCAGAAAAATAAATAACTTGCTCAAACATTGGTAATAAAATTATAATTAACTCATTAGTTATGAACAGGATTCCAGAAAAGTGATCCATTCAACTAAGTTATTGATTGGGGACAATGTGCTGGACACTTACTCTCATATTTTCTCACATCATTAAAATCTATACATTAAGAAAAGTGCCATTTTATTCCCATTTTTTTAAGGAAAAGAAATACATTTTCTTGAAAACTAAATGACTTGCCTAGTATTATAAATCATTGCTGAACTCTGAATCAGTAGTTTTCACCAGAAGGTAGGAGAAGAAATTTAAGGAGTTGTCCTAGTTTACATTAGTTTTTCTTCATCAAAGCTCCACTTGGCTAAAAGTAGTTCCTTATGATTTCTTATTATTAAAATAGTTCCAACACTAATTTAATACAAAAGTTAAGAATACTCTTCTCTAAGGCTAATGATGCTTGAGAAAATACAACTCTCACAATTCCCTCAAGAAGGCAATCACAGTGAATAAGGAAATTTAGTATAACTAGCTGCTTTAAAACCAATTACTGCCCCCCGCCAAAAAAAGCCCTAAATTTTGTTGCTTGTTTTGTGGGGCCACACCTGGTAATGCTCAGGACTAACTCCTGGCAGGACTCAGCGGGTACCAGGCTCAAGAATCATCTCTGAGGCACAAAAGCCATAATACACCTCTTACCCTTATAAAAACCTTTTTCTCACATTGTATTGTAAACCTATTTACAATAGCCAGAATCTAGTAAAAAACCAAGTGCCCGAGAACAGATGACTGGTTAAAGAAAATTTGGTACATCTACACAGTTGGAATATTATGCAACTGTTAGAAAAGATGAAGTCATAAAATTTGCATATAAGTGGATCAACATGGAAAGTATCATGTTAAGTGAAGAGTCAGAAAGAGAGGGACAGATATAGAAAGACACAGAATATAAAGTAACGGAATGGGAGACTAACACCCAAGAATAGTAGAGATAAGTACCAGGAAGTTTGGTCCACGGCTTGGAAGCTGGCCTCATGTGCTAGGGGAAAAGGCAGCTCAGATAGAGAAGGGAACACCAAATAAAGGGTGTTTAGAGGACCCACTTGGGATGGGAGATGTGTGCTGAAAGTAGATTATAGACTGAAGATGATGGTCACTCATACCTCTATTGCAAACCACAACACCCAAAAGGAGAGAGAGAACAAAAGGGAATGCCCCACCAAGTGGTGGGGTGGAGTGGGGCAAGGGGGGAGGGATGGATACTGGTAGGGGTGGTGGAAAGGATACTGGGATCATTGGTGGTGGAGAATGGGCACTGGTGGAGGGATGGGTACTCAATCTTTGTGTGACTGGAACGCAAGCATGAAATTTTATAACTCTGTAACTGTACCTCACAGTGATTCACTAATAAAAAATTTTTAAAAAAAAACCTTATGCTCACCAATTGTTCAACATTCTCCCTTTCACCACCACTACCCAGGGTTACAAATTTCCAATTAGTTTCCAGAAGACAAAGTACAGTCTCCAGCTGGATTTTTTAACTTATTTCTGAAGCAACAAAACTTAATATTCTCTTTCTGTGCAAGCGTAGATCATTGTTTGAAAACTCAGTTACATGTTCTATAACTGCAAACATACTTGTCAGTTTTCTGTACCTCATCCCTTAATCACTAGCTACACATTTCACTGGAGACTGCTTTTCTAAAACTAGAGATTTAACTTCTATCATGGTCAACTAATGCAGTATTTCTTTTTGAGTCTTACCTTAGGTAAATAAAAGAGGTAACCTCGTTTCAATTGCTATATTGAAAACTAGGATATATATAATGTGGTGAGGAGTGTACCATCAAGTTAGTGGAGATCATTCCCTTGTACCCTCCCGAGAGCTGACACCATGAAATTTTCATGTATGTTTCTGAAAGATTGCGACTAATGTGCTTTTTATAAGAGAGTAATTTTGTATAATTCTGTAATATTATTAGTCAACATTTTAGTCCAGGACTGGGGATGTGGCTCAAGTGCAGAGTGGTTACAAGCATGAGCTCTCATGGCTTCTTGACCATGCTGGGACTATCTCTGGTCATCATGGAACGACTCCCAGAAACTTTTCACCAATGTGAACAGATAAAAACAGGCGTCCTAAGTGAGGTTTGGCAAGACTCTGTTCCATGGGGCCAGTTGACTGCTAGTGTGGTTTAGGGAATAACAGCAAGATTGCTGGCTTATACATTTGCCATGGAGCCTGGTTTAGCAGGGAAACAATGGCTTTGTGCCCTGGACTTTGAGACTCTAACAGAAAATAAGATCTAAAACTTCAGAGAAAGCTGCTGAGTCAGTCTTGGACCTACAAAATACACTCCCTGTTGTCAAAAGAAGTTATATAGTTGTCATCTTGCTGCAGAGATATCTATTTCTGTAAATAATTTCTAATTTCAGCAATTGGAAAAAATGTAGTGAGAAAATATAGCCTTCGATAATGGACTACTGGTGACTAGAAATCACTTCTCCAGAAAGGCCGGCAAAGTTGTAGAGTTTTATGTTTTTTTTTTTTTTGCGGGGGGGTGGGGGGAGGTTCTTTCATTTTAATGAGAAGCACCTTCTAGTTAATTTTATCTATTTAGTTTAGCGTTGGAATGACTCAAAAGTGCTATTCAGAATGCCTGGGGACCGCTCCCAGCAATCTAGGCCAATAGAGCTAAGGTTGAATGCAAGAGCCTGAGGATATGGTGTTGCTTGGGTCCTAGGGTGTCAGGAATTGCTCCTCATGCAGTGGTGCAAGTGGCTTCCAGGTTGCAAGCTGTGATGCTCAGGGGACCACATGTGCCAGGGATCAAATTGGAGTCTGCTGCATGCAAGGTTTACACCTTAACCCTTGTGCCAGTCTCTGACCCCTTTTTTTCAACATAAAATTTAAAAAAAAAATTGTTTTCAATCTTCAGTGCCTCAGTAAGTAGTTAGCTTTCTGATCAGTATATCATTGAATCAAACTGGCTTTTTAAGACAAGTTTCCATACATCCCCCTACACTAGGAAAGAAGGGAGAGAGATGAAGAAACTAGTCGATTCTCACTCTCTCTGGATTTCTAGGCCTTTGCTAGGATGGTCAGCACAGCACCTCAATCTTACATGGGATGTATATTTTAGGTGAACTATTCACTGCACGAATAAAAGATCCAATCTTGGGAGTTCATCTGAAATGCATTAGTTAATCACTGACCTGATTCTTTTTTTATATACCCCATGAAACTACCACAAGTAATATAAATGCTCTTTTCTGATTACTTGAGGTTTGAAATGTGGATTGGAATTTAAATGTTGCTGTACTCAAATAAGGACTTACATTTAAATGCTAAGCAGCTGAATCAGGTTAATCCATCAATCTGATAAAATAAACCACAAGTTTCCCTGGTAACAGTACATTATCTCAATATAAATTACTTACCTTCTGGATCCATAAGTATTTCCATAGGCATTAGAATCATAACTCTGTTCCTGGTTATCAATAGTATAATTAGACTGATAAAAATCTGAGTCAAATTGTCCCAAGTCAGACATCCTGAAAAGTAATAAATTTTTAAGATATTTACAAAGATTAATTAATGAAGGAATTATAACCAGATTACTACCATAGAGCAAAACATTCTTCGAATGAATATTAAGGGAAGTGTACAGAAATGTATGTTAGAAAGCCTTTATAAAACAATTATAATTTAACTTTTCTGTTTTTTCTCTGGACTGTGACTTTAAAAAAATTGAATTTAATTAATCTAAAACTACTAAGTTTCTTCGAATACCTTACTGTTAGCATTTTGAGAAAAAGTTTAAACCTTCATACACAGTGGGACAGAGAGTACAGTGGGTAGGGCACTTGTATGCAGTCAAACCTAATTCGATTCATGACACAATATGTGGTCCCCTGGGCACCACAGGAGTGACCTCTGAACACAGAGGCAGGAGGAAGTCTATAACACTGTGGGGTGTGGCACCCCAACTAGCCAATCAATTTTTATTTTCAAAAATAAAAATATTTTTATTTACTCAAAAAAAATAAGAGTAAAAGTTTGTACAGTTCTTTTCAGTAAGCACTTCCATAGGGTGTGTGTGTGTGTGTGTGTGTGTGTGTGTGTGTGTGTGTGTGTGGTGTGTGAGAGAGAGAGAGAGAGAGAGAGAGAGAGAGAGGCGGGGGGCGGGGGGAGAATACTCTTGTCCCAAAGCCAGAAGCAAATGGCAAATAATAATAACAATAATGTTTTATTTTTCCATGTAGTTTTAAAATGTGATACTAAGTCTCCATATTCTCCTAGAGAAACAAATCACTTTCCAATTTTTACTTTCAGTTCCCGAGAAGTATTTGGAATATTTTCTTTTTCCTCTTGCCCTGCCTTTTGTACTTGGGTTTCCAAATGAGTTAGAATGACTCGATTTTGCTGGTAGAACGGAGTGCTTTTTCTGTAAACACACTACATGGTCTCTACTCCATCCCAAGAGTGAATAGGAAAATGTGATCTGTATTTAGACCTAGTAACTACAAACAGTAGAGGAAACATGAAAGATGTGAAGGAGCGTAAGATAGAAGAAGAATGTAGTAGCTATCTGAAAATTAGACTGGAGCAGGAAATCTTTTTCAATAGTAAGAATATGGTTATTCAACTTTCTAATCTTTTATTAAGAAAATAATATTCTTAAAAGATGAATTTAATAGTCACCAGAAGACAATCAGTGGGATGCTACTTATACTAATTTCAAACAAAATTTTATAGCATGCTTAGCTATGAATCTCACTAATCAGAAATTTCAGAACTATTCAAAAACAACTTTTAATATAAGTATATATTATATATTTTTAGTATAATACAGAAACTTTTTCTCCTGTAAAAGTACAGGAGGATTTTCTAAAATCAGATCAGATATTTATACAAATGTTTCAACAAGCCAAGATTTTTCATAGCGATATGTATAAAAATTAGCTATGAATTATATAAATTAAAATCAAGATTGAGAAACATCTTTCAAAATCTATTAATATCTTTCAAAATCTTATAAGTTTAAAGTAAAAAAAACTTAAAATCTAGTAGCATTCCTTTCTTAGTTCTATATAATGTTATCATTAAGCACAGAATGTAATTTCACTTGAGGATACACTAGCTTTTCATAGCACAAAAAACTTTATGTAATATGACTTTTAAAAGTTCTTATATAATCCAATCTCATATTTCTTTAAACGTCAAGCATTTTAGAATAACCAGACACATACCTCGTTATTATTTTATGACTAAAGATCCTCCAACACAAGTATCTTTACTTGTGAAATTTATAGCAAATCACTTGGTGAAAAGACGACCTGCTGACTATATATAAAAGTTTCTAAATTTGTACTCTGACACTCAACAAATGCCACAGCCAAAAAGAAAGTCTGCCCAAAGTCAAACACAATATCTTCTAACACTTGTTAAAGTTTATAAACACAGTGAAACACATACATAGATACAAGCCATTTTTGATGATCAGAAATTACTTTATTATGGAATTTAGTACTGAAATTTTATGCACATTAATTATGTTATACTTATGATTTATTTACTTTTCTAAAGACATAAAAATACAATACATTCTGTTTTGTGTTGCTTTTAAAGAATACATAAAATACATCATCAGTATTCCTTGCTTGCTTCTTTTGTTAATATCACATAATATTTGATTCTTGCTACCTGCCATTAGACAATGCTACTTTCTATTTCATAAGCCTGAAACAACCATCCCTGAATATTACACAGTGACCTGAAGATGGTTATATAACATTGCATAAATTCCAAAGAGCATGATATAGTCCATGGCATGTAATAATAGAAAATTATAAGGTTTTCCTTTTCAATACATTCACAATTATATTTGACTTTTAATTTGGCTATATTTTGTTAGCTTTAACTTTTGTTGTAAAAAAAATTGAAATCTAGAAGAATTGTTACAAAACACATAATTTTAATTTACTAATAACTTAATGTTATGAACAACACAAATCATATCTGAAATTATGGAAACTAGTATGAGTAGTAGTTGAGTTGTGTATTTTTAGTAACTATATTATTATATAATGTGTAATTGTGCTAGATAAAATTTATATACATTTATCAGGCCTGTAAATGATTTTTATAGGTAATCCTTCCTAAGAATTATATTAATTTTTTTACAACTTACCTAACTACATATATCTTTAATTTCTTCATCCATAAAATTAGAATAGTATTCTGAGGCAATATTTATCTTATTTTTACAAAAATATATTTCTATTTGTTTATCTTATAATAAACTAAAATTATTAAAACTTATATAAGATTTATATGCTTACATATGTATGAATAATTAAAATTTCTTATAAAATACATGTGTTAGGTAGAATTTTACAACAGGAGCAGCAATTAATACAATAGAGATAACTTAAAGCACTCCACAAATGTTTTCTGTTATGATTATATTTCTAGGTAGAAATAAAGTTATATCTTTAGAGGATTATCTCTTGTGTCCATTTTTAATAGCAACTCAAAACACAAATATTTTAGTTAACCCTATAGATGGCAACTTAGTCTGCACATCATATCTATTTTTTAAGAAAAGGGTACAGTAAGAGGGGGTATTTACTAATGTTCATCATGTAGACCATTGTGACTAGACAGTGTTTCCTCAGCCTTCGCCTCTTTCTTTCTCCTATTTTTAATACAGTCATCTCTTATTCTTAATACATAAAAATTTGAATAATATAAAAGACTAAGATCATTCTTTATTTGTAAGAGAACCAATTATCATTTGGACTAAACTCCCTTAGGTACCAATTAGTAATGATTGGAGGACATTTTGGTTATACTTCTTTCAGCAATAAAAAGCACAATCACTCCCAACAATCTGACATATTATTACTTTACAATGGTAGAATTATTAATTTTTTTGCCAAATGTTCCACATTTCCATGAAATATATCTATTTGTCCAGTGGGCAAATGCAGTTTTAGTAGCTTGAAAATAATGACCAAACACAGCATACATGTAAATGTAACTATCAACATACCTTCTATTTCATAAAATACCAAACCTTTTGGGGGCACTAGGACCTAAATAAGTACTCATAGCTTAGATTTTTAATATAATTTGAGACTTTTATTTAAACAGTACCTTTTTTTAAATTTTTAAAAAATTTTTTTTATTAGTGAAACACCATGAGGTACAGTTGTAGACTTACAAATTTTTGTGCTTGGGTTTCAGTTATACAATGATCGAATACCCATCCCTCCACCAGTGCCCATTCTCCATCACCATGGGTCCCAGTATCCCTCCCACCCCGCATACCCCCATCCAACCCTGTGGCAGGGCATTCCCCTCTGTTATCTCTCTCCTTTTGAGTGCTGTGGTTTGCAAAAGAGACATTGAGTGGCAATCTTGTTCGGACTATAGTCTACTCTCATTACGCATTTCCCATCCTGAGAGGAACCTCCCAACACCCTTAATTTGGTGCTCCCTTCTCTATCTAAGCTGCCTTTTCCCCTAGCATGTGCGGCTGTCCTTGGGGTCATGGAGCAATCCTCCTGGAATTTATCTCGGCTATTCTTGGGTGTTAGTCTCCTATTTTGTTACTTTATGTTCCCCAGATGAATGCAATCTTTCTCTGCCTATCCCTCTCTTTCTGACTCATTTCACTTAGTATGATACTTTCCATGTAGTACCACTTGAATGTAAATTTCATGACTTCATCCTTTCTGACAGCTACATAGTATTCCATTGTGTAGATGTACCAAAGCTTCTTTAACCAGTCATCTGTTCTTGGGCACTCAGGTTTTTTCCAGATTCTGGCTATTGTAAACAGTGCTGCAATGAACAGACAACTGCAGGTGTCACTTCAACTATATTTTTTTGCCTCTCCAGGGTATATTCCCAGGAGTGGAATTGCTGGGTTAAATGGGAGCTCAATTTCTAGCTTTTTGAGAATCGTCCATACTGTTTTCCAGAAGGGCTTAACCAGCCGGCATTCCCACCAGCAGTGAAGGAGGGTCCCTTTCTCGCCACATCCGAGCCAGCACCGGTTGCTTTTGGTCTTTTGGATGTGGGCCAGTCTCTGTGGTGTAAGATTATATCTCATTTAAACACTACCTTTTAAAAGTTTGGTGGTATTCATTTGTATATACAGCAAACCTTTATCCCATCCTTCAGAAAGGAAGAACTTTGCTTGTTTTGATGTCTTGGTTGTTGTGAATAGTATGGCAATAAACCAAGGGGTAATATAAACTTTTCAATAGTTTTTTGGGGGAAGTGGGGTTGAACCACACCTGTCAGTGCTCACTGATTACTACAGGCTCTGTGTTCAGGGATCACTTCTGTCCATGTTCAGGGGAACACATGCTGTTAGGGGATCAACCCTAGATCCACCACATGCAAGGTAAGTGCCTTAACCCCCATACAAGCTCTCTAGTTCAATGTTTTGTATTCTTGAACAGATAACTAGAAATGGAACTGTTCTTTTGAGGCTACATGCAGTCGCTCAGGGATCACTTCTGGTGGTGTTTGGAGGACCATATGACCTATATTACGCTGGGTACTGAAATTGAGTTGGTCATATGTGAAACAAGCACTTCAATCACTACTCTCTTGGTCTCCGCTACTTTTCATTCATTTCATTTCATCATCCTGTTATTCGTCGATTGCCTCGAGCAGGCCCCAGTAACGTCTCTTTCATCCTAGCCCTGAGATTATATTCAAGGCTCTTTAGGAGAATGAGACCCATCATTGTTACTGGTATTTGGCATATTTGGTATGCCACGGGGAGTTTGCCAGACTCTGCCCTGTGGGCAGGCTACATTCGATAGCCTGCAAGTTTGTCCAAAGTAGGAATGAGACAATAAGATGTCATAAAAAAAAGTTCTGATAAGATGTCGCGGCCGCGCGGTTCCGGGATCTGGATTTTATAGTCTCTGAGTCTTGGCCGCTGATGGGATTACACAGCGCCAGGGGGCCAGGTGGTGGGTATGACCCCCGCCTACTGGAATTGGGAGGATCTGGGTGGAAGATGCTCGACTCCAATCCAAGTAGGCTTGGAGGTCTCGGCCCCGGAACCCGCGTGGCTTTGTCCCTCTGCCAGTACCTTCATGTATGCGGAGAGTGGTCTCAGCATGCTGGTGGCTGGTCCTGGAGGTCTTCGGCTGCCGGAGCCCTGGTCGGGGCGGGGAGGAAAGCTCAACCCGCTCCCCTCCAAGGGGCCCCGGGAAGGAACACCCAGGCGCGGGGGCAGAAGACTCCCCTACTCCGCTACTTTTAACTTTTTGAATAGTCTCCACATTATTTTCTATAGTGATAATTCCAATTTGCATTTTCACCCACAGTAAAGGAATGCTCCTATGTATCTCATTGGTGCCATCACTTACTCTATAGAATTAAGCCCAAAGTCTATACTCTAGCCCGTTAGAACAAGTGGAACTTGATGTGTATTTGTATTTCATTTATACCATTGGGTATATAAGATGCTCAGGCCTCTCAGGCCTATGAATAATAGGGAACATGGAAGAGGCCAGCTAACAGACAGGTAGGAAATGACATCCTCAGTCCAACAGACAGGACCTTAAAGCTGTTAACAACCACTGAATAAAGCGGGCTAAAGGAATTCCCCATCCCCAGCTTTAATCAAGGACTCAGTTCTGATGAGCTCCTAGTTGCAGTCCTGTGACAGGCTGTGAAACAGAAAACCCAATTAAGTCATGACAAGTTTCCTGATCATGTAAAATGGTGAGATAATAAACATAAATAACCCTGCATTAATTTTCATATAATACAATCAGTATTATCAGTAAATAAGTCAGTGCAAGTTCTACTTTCAAAAAATGTAATTGAATGAAACCAGTCCTTATAAGTATCAAGCTGATTATGATGCAGCTCTCATTTTAGAAGAAAGTCAGACCATTTATCTGACAAGCTAAAGCCTTGACCATAATGATGGCTCCTCTTGATGTTAAATGCACTATTTCTCCCTAAGTCATTTATTTTGTCAAGGAAGGTGAATGGGAAACACTAGCTTCATGCAATGACGCTGACATGGTACCAGAAGGTCTACTCTCTTTTTTCTGAGTGAAGGAAAGCATCAAGCTTCTCTAGAGACAGACACTGAATCTCAGAGGTTTTTCTAGTCCTTTTCTCCTGTACACATACAGACACGTACCTAATTGTTGCAAGCTGCTTTCATCTACACATTTCATCTTAGGTATTTAGCTTCTCTGGGTTTCAGTGATTATTTTTCACATAACATTAAGGCTTTGGACTATGTAATTCAATGAATATATCCAGTAACTACTAAAATATTGCTAATAAG